CAAAGGTTTTCATCACTGGAGTGACTATGAATGGACAACTTTACAAGGAGGAGTGTCTCCAGAACATAATTTTGCCGTTCATTCAATCACACGAAGGTCCCGTAAAGTTCTGGTTTGACTTTCCCAGATGCCATTACAGCTGCGATGTCATAGAATGGTATAAGCAGAGTAATGTCGATTTTATTGAGAAAAGTATCAATCCAGATTTTCGTCCCATTGAAAATGTTTGGGCAATTATCAAGTGTAAATTGAAGAAATGTGGCAAAACAATCAAAACACCATCTGATCTGGAGAAGTGGTGGAAAAGGATGGTAGATGAGGTTGACATGATGAGAGGTATTCCACGGAAAGTTCGAAAATTCATGCGAAAAACTGACGAATAATTTTGGTTGTATTTTTCCCTCAAATCTGAATAAAAATCCTACAAAATGATACCTTTAGCGTTTTTGTACTTTATTCCCCCTTGGAGGAATGACATATTTTGAGCGGCCAAATTCTAAATGGAACACACTTTAGTTAAGAGAATTTTAGAAAAGTTCAGAGTGTTTTGGAGAAGTTTGGCCCATTCAGCTAAATCTACTGTCTAACTGTCAAATTTATGCCAACGCAACGCAGACGGATCTAATGAGGGTGACCCTTAAGAGCACTTCAGAAAAGTTCAAAGGGAACCATGAACCATGACTAAAGACATAATCCATTGTGTTAATTTTATTGTAGGGCTCCATGTTTATTTCGGAAACGTTTAGGGTATCCTTCAGAAAAGTCCTGCAAATCCTAAACGGAGCCCAAGTGAACATCAGAGAGTTTAGGGACAGTTTTAGACAACCGTTTAGCAAACTTTAAGGGGCAAGAGGATTCAGAAAGCCTGGCCTATTTAAATCGAAATCGAAGCATCGGGCCTATTTAAATCGAAAATTTAAACACCATGTTTCAGAATCCAATAAATGGATGAAACGTGGACATCTCGATGTTTTGTTGTTTAAAAATAGTTGGTCGTTGGAAGCATCTAGTCAAAAAGGTTAAGCGATGCTCCATTTCCACTGGCGGCCGAAACATGAGCACAAACTCTTGTCCTAGTCCAACGCAGTTTATGGTTATAGTGCCATTTCTCGCTTTCTGAAACCGGGACTCATACCAATTAGCAAAAAAAGGTTTGAACCAAAGTTTGGTTGAACAAGAAGTTCATAAATTTTACAAAAAGTTCTTGCTATACGATTTTTGTCAGTTTTCAAGGGTCAATGGTTTGGTTGATTCCAAAAGTTTAGATTGTTCGTAAGCTTGTCAATTTTTAAGTGTCCATAATTATAAACATAAACACACAGCAAAAAAAATAATTTTAATATCACATCAAAGTGGATGCACTTTAATCGTGTCGAAAATATGGTGTAATATTACTTGCCAAAAAGGACAAAATTATCATTGATACAGTGCATGAACTGACATTACGCTACTTTTACTGCATTTGTTTATTGTTGTGGCCATAAAAATTACTTTAGATTTTCGACGTAATTGAAGTATATCCTCTTTGATGAAATATTAGAATTTATTTTTTGCTGTGCATATCAAGGGGCAGACAGCTGTACTCAGAGTAAATATATTTGCTGCGAGTAAATTTGAGTTGCTCATAATTACTCAAAAATGAACAAAGTAGTCTCGTATTTTCCTTCATAAGAAGTTCTGGAAACAACCACCGTCTGACAGAATGTTTTGTTTAAACATTTTCAATTAAGACAAAATATAGCATTTGGCGTCGGATAATTAAATTTAAATTAAAAGATCCAAGTTACATTGCTTTTGTCCAGGCCAGGGGCTTCTTTTGCTTTCTAGGGATTAATGATCTTCGAAGTTTTTCGTGATGTGATTTCAAGACCAAAGATGTTGTTATTTGACCTAATATAACGAGAAGAATATTTTAGCTCATGAAAATTAATACTCAACCTCTCAAAATCGATGTATGAGGCTTCTTGTTCTGTGAATTGGTTTCTGGCATGAGGAAGCTCAACATTACTAATTATTTATAATTGAGGTGTACAGTGACCAGCGAAATTAAATCTAAAAGCTTCCATAATGGAAGATCGATATAAATCTCCGAGAATATTTTGCTAGAAAAAGTCACAGTAATGTTCAACTGTCACTAGAAACTTCCGTTGTTTCCCCTGATACTCTTAGAAATAGGCAGTTGAAAATTGTGATCAGAAACGGGTTAAATTTTCACCTCCTGGTGTTGTTGTGATGATCCACATTTAGCACAAATGGAACATTGACGAATGCGGTCTTTTATGTAGCTGTTTAGGTCACAATAGATTAGTTTTGGTCAAGTTCATAGTTGATTCTATTCCGACAATTACATATGAGCGATCGTCGAAGGGATGCAGGAATTCTTACATCTCTTTTTTGTCATGTTACTTAGAATTGTTCAGAATCCTCCATTTGAGATGACTGTAGTCCTCCCTGAGATTGTCTGGAAGCTCCATGGAATTGTACGGAATCCTTTCTGCGATTGTTTGGGATCCTCTCTGAACTGTCATGAATGCCCCTAAATGTTTACTGAAATCTTTCTTTTATCTATATTATCTGTTAGGTTTGCCCGAAGTCCCCTCTGACACTGTCCGGAAGCAATACTGAGAGTGTATGAAATCGTTTCTGATAATTGTCTGGAATCACTCCTAGACTAGTTCGGAATCCCTCCAGAGACGGTCGTAAATCTCCTTTTCGATTGATTGAAATCCTTCCAGAGATTGTCCGAAGTCTTCTAGGGATTGTCCAGAATCCCTCTGGGACTATTCTGAATCCTTCTATCAGAATCCGTATTACCTGCAATTACCTTTCCATTGCTGAAATATCTTCTCGGTTAAGCTTTAGTTTGCAAGGGCATCGCTTAAAATTTACAAATGCAATTATGCCCAATTGAAATCTTGCCACTGAATTATCATTGCTTGACAGCATCGGTTTCAACGCAACAACCAGGTTGCTATGTGGAAATGTTGTTGAGCAATGCGAGTTACTCAGAGTTACTCAAAATTAAGTCCGATTATGCTCATGATCGAAAACTGTCTTGCCCCAAGGTGCATATAAAGCATTTTCAAAAGCTTTTTTGAATAAATTTCCAGGTTTACCTGAAATTACTAAACAGCCATTCTTTGCAAAGCGATATAATGCTTCTCAGAATTTCAAAAAAATGGCAGCTTTGATCCTTATCGCAAAACATTAGACCTATATTTATTTATGTTGTCATTAGGGTTAGCATTTCCATGTTAAGGCCAATATTTTTTTATTTCAAAAACAATTTTTTAATCATTTTAAAGATCAAAACATCAAATGAAAGAAAATTAAAAATACTTTTTAGAAAAAAATATGACGATAATAAAAATTGGGATTTTGTATTGAAAAACATTGATTGTATTTATTTGTTATGGTTTTCATGGTTTGTAGACAGAGGGCGCAATATGTTTTTTATATTTTTTCCTTGAGAATTTAGGCTTTTTACACAACATATTAAAAAATCAGTGGTGTTTTTTCGTTTTTGAATTATATTTTTTTAAGTTATCAAGTTTTGGGTTTTCGCTCAATACTCCTATGCGACTAGACTATCATGCATCGTGGCCATGTTACAGTCGCTATAAATCAGTCTAGTCGGATAGGAGTAGGATATATTTTCACACGTCGACTCTCTTTGCTGTATTTTTTAATTAATTAATTTCCAGAGGCGAACCAGCCATAACCTCTTAAATAAATAAAAATTATAATAATTAATTAATGATGATGTTTGTTGATAATTTACACTGGAGCACCGACGCTTTCCGATTCTATATTGCCATGAAGACGCAATGTGTATAACAATTTTTCAAAAATGACGATCTCATTGCAGTGGCTTCACTACTCACCTAAACTTAAATTAAAAAAAAACATCACATTCTAAGTTTAAAGAAAAAAAGGTAACGTGTTCAGAATTCGATGCAGCAGCTGGAGAGTTGCGACCACGCAAGGCGCCCGAGAACCACTCATTCCACGAACAATCTTTCACTCAACCTCCTTCCCCATTAAGCAGCACCCACCGAAGGAGACATTTCCGTACTTTGTGTGCTTCTGTGTTTGCACAATGTTCTTGGGTACGAAACATGCCTGCCTGGCTGTAATTAAATCGGCTGAGCACCACATCCAACCCCCCCTCCCAACCCTTCTTCTTCCCGGCTGGTTGAGGACCGCGAGAGGACCAGTCGGTTGAAAACAAACAGAACCAACCGAAAATGAACGAAAGAGCGCACCATTGCTAGACGGACCCGACGGACGAGCGTTGCCCGTAACAATTGTTTTCCTCTGAATGTTTGATAAGAAGCAGGAAAATATTTTTCAACGGAAGAAAGCAATTTTAACAAGTTCGCGTGTTTTCATCGTTTGGACGAGCTTTTCCCGCGCTTACGGTATGGCCGCCGGTGTGAGGGTACGCTAGGGCTGCTGGTGGAGAATACCTGTTCCACCACCAGTCAGTAGTGTGTGGCTACGACAACAAGTGACAAACGGAACAACGGAAGAATGGAAAATCTCGTTTTCTTCTTCTTCTTCTTCTTGCAATCGTGGTGGGCGACTGTGGCGGGAAAAGCTCGTGACGATGCATATTTTCGCGATTTTCCGTGATGGGATTTGTGTGTTCTCTCCTAACGAAATTATTATTAAGCATTCCACTTTACCTACACTAGAATTATATACTCTCTCCGACTCTAACGACTTCCTTCTCCCCCTTTTACGGTGTGTTTCTGTGTTGTGTTTCATCAGCAGAGAAATAAGTACCGTTGCTTGGAAAAATTATCTAATCACACTTAATTGTCTTTCATAAACAGCGAAACAGTGAACGATGGTTTCTTTGCTTTCTTTTCTGTTTTTTTTTTGTTTTTGCTAATAATGACTAGGGTACCGTCCTTTTTTTCCTTATAAAATAATACTAGTTTGTTTGTTTGTTTTTACATGTTTCGCTAACCTTTGCAACGATTCCCTAGGTTAGCTCTTATTAAAATTATCTCTTATAAAATGGAGGCGCATGATACTTGTTTCATTTTTATTTAAGTGTTATAATGTCTTTTCAGCATTATTACCAAGTACAATTATTCTGAACCACATTTTTGTTTCGCGGCAAAATTGTCAAATTAAGTAGCGTTTCTTTTGCTTCTTCTTCTAGTTTTCTAAAAACTATATACACTTATGCAATACTGATTCATTTGCTCTAGGTTGATCTAGACTTACAATTACCGCTCTTATCGCTAATAAGTGTATTTGATGATACTGTCTACTCTCTTAATACTCAGCAGCTAATGACTGACATCTTAGAACTAGCTTATGAGTTTATGTTTTTTTTTTTAATTAACATTATTATTGTCTATATCATTACATTAAAAATTGATATTGATTTTACCTATCTCTTTGCCCAATGGAAAAAAGTGCGCATGGAAAAGAGTGCTTAAGTCATATGCAGATCTCCTCGCAGAATCCTCATGAAAGTCTTTTTGAACTGCTGGTTAGCGAGGGCGTAGCAGAATGGGTTCATCGGGCTGTTGGCGTAGCACAGGAAGTAGGAGAACATGAACAGATGTTCGTTGATGCAGGGTGGGTTCCTACAGAAGCCAACCACCAGAGCCAGCACGTGGTACGGCGTCCAGCAGGCCACAAATGCTCCCAGGATGAATGATATCGTTCGGAACGCCTTACGGGCACGATTCTCCGATTTTGACTTTTGTCGGCCGATTCCGAGCGATCCGGATTTCTTGTTGCCCTTCAGTCTTTTGCCGATCGAACGGATAAAATCCCGCTTGCTGGAGGTTTGCCGTTCCATACAGGGATTGATGGTGATCGTTGTCCCACTAGGGGTATTGTGGGTGGTGAAGGATGAAACTTGCGTGTGAATGGTAGTGGTGCTGGGTAGTGCATTCGGTTGCGGTGCTGATGTGGTCACTGCTGGTACTGCTGTACTGCTGTTGGTCGTTGTTGATGTTACGGTTGCAGTTGCTTCCTTTACTGCTTCTGCTGCCGCCGCCGGGGATGAGTGCTTCGGATCCGAAGTAGTACTTGAAACCGACGTAGGATTGTTTAATTGCATTCTCGAATTAAGGCTCACGCTGTCGACCTGCGGGTGCTGTGGTAAGGCCTGATCTACATTTGAATTATTTGTGTAGGAGCTATGCAATACAGTAACCGGTTTGTCCGGATTCTGAGAGGCTACTGTGACTGTTGTACTAAACTTATTGATTGGCTGTATCGACTGTGCCGAGGTCGGTGAAAGAGGTCCCCCGTCAACCGTTCGCAGTAGAACCGTTGGTGCCGGTTGTTTAGATTGAGCCGTAGCCCGAATGAGTGCTTTTTGCAGAAGAGAAGGATTCGCTATATTCTGTCCAGCGGCATGGGCTGGGGAACATGGCTGTACCACAGCGAATGCTGACGGCGGACTTTCGTACTGCGGCGAAGGAACCACTACTGAACTTTCGTCCATGAATCGGAGATCGGCACCATCCATTCCCACCATGGCATCGTAGGTGACGGTCGAGTCCCCTTGGCTTATTATACTATGAGGCCTGTCTGATTTGGACGGTGGACTTTCGGAAGCATGGGGGCTTCCTTGAAAACCATAAGGTGGCGTCAGGATCGTGTGCGAAATTTCTGGTGCTCGCTCGCATTTCGCCACCACCAGGGGTTCGATATCGACTGGCGAAATAGGAGACTGAACCGGAGTCGGTTTAAGTGGGGAAACCTGAGGTTTTCCATCGGTATTGTCAGAGTCCAATATGCTCGTCTCGCTAATTTTTGGGAGTCCCTCGTTTTTCGTTGGATGAATCGGAGATTTTTTCGGTTTTCCCTGGTCACTCGTAGGAGTTGTCGTTGTTTTTACTGCCCCATTGTTGTATCGATTCGATAGAACAGTAGCTGAAGCACCCACGAGCAAACCGGCCAACGAAGTCCTCTTCTTAGAAACCCGTACTTCTTCCTGTTGTTGCTTCGTGTTCGCCGAGCTCTCATCGTCCGAATCAAACGCTGGACTACTAGATCGTTCGCTCTTATCGCCTTCTTTTTCTTCCTTACTTTTCCGTTGATCCTCTCCCTTTTCATCTTTCGGTTTCGGTACTGAGCTTTTCCTGCTCGATGTGGCCTCTTCTTTTTGCATTTGGTTCGGAACTAGAGCAAGTGTTGGAGGAAGCATCATGTTCGGCGCGGGAGTAGCCGGTAATGGCAGTGGCTTATCCTGACTCAGCAAAGTGCTCTGCGTTTTAGATATCCCTATACCGCCTGCTTGACCAGCCAACCCGGTCATTGCATTCCCTAAGGCTACCATGGACTGCATCTTCCGCTGCTTGGCCTCACTTTTCTTCTGCATATCGTATGCCGTTTTGTAAATCCCACCGTACAAAACAAATAAAACCACCAACGTAGTCCAGTAGTACCCTATTATGAGTGCAGTGTTAAAAACAGGATCCTTCAAAAACTGAACGGTACACTCGCCGGGAAGAAGATCCCGATAGCCAACAAAGTGCTCCCAACCGAAAATAGATATGAAAAACAGTAGCGCCGGAATGATCCAGGTGATGGTAACCATCCAGATGACCTTGTTTTTCGTTCGCCAACTTCGATATTTGGCGGCTATCTTCACTGAGCAAAAGCGATCGATCGTTATCAAAAGCACCGTATACTGCGATACCAAACAGACGGTGTAGTCCACCGACAGCCACAAATCACACAGCAACGGGCCCAGATCCCAGTAGCCCATGAGAACGTAAACCGTATAGAATGGCATGGAAACGGTCCCTATTGGCATCAGGGGGAAAAAAAAAAATAGAAAAAGACATAATTTTTTTGGTTAGATACTTTTACAAACAGCGAAAAAAAGCGCATCTTTCCACACCCAGACTACTCACCTATTAGCATATCGGTGGCTGCAAGCGAGGCAATGAAGTAGTTACTCGGCTGCCTGATGCTCCGGTCGACGATGAATGCCAACAGTACCAGGATGTTGCCACCTATGGTGAGTATTATGCAAATCGCCAGACATATCGCTATCAGAACCGTTTGCCATAGTTCGAACGGTGGCAACACCGGTCCTAGTCCGTTCTCATTCGCTCCGCCCAGCAGCGATCCGTTCACGCCATCTATCGCTGTGCCATTGGCAGAACCGATTCCACCGCTGCCATTGTTCCACTCCAGAAAGCTATAGTTATTGCTCGCGAACCAGTTGCTGTACTCGTGAAGACTGTCAAAGTCTGTAGCACCAACAACGGTCCCAGCGCTGCCGGCACCCACTGCGCTACTGCTACTTGCCTTCTCGTATAACCGGTGGTACGCAGGAATGCCGAGCAAGTTTTGACATTCTGGAAAATTTAATAGATTTAATCTTTTGTAGAGTTGCTTACAAAACTTTTCCTGTTTTCTCTTCAGCTTCCTGCGGTAATCCGTCGTGCATGTCGAAGTGATAGCATGGAATGAGACAGACAACAAGACAACTTTTTTTCAGATCACATTGTCTTGGGTGATACGTGTGTGTGAGTGTAATGGGTGGAAGGAATGATTAATAAATTTTTAATAACTTTTCGAATGTCAATACCGATCCCAGCTACACAATTATTCGCTGTTAGTTCGATGTGAACCCTCTGGAGAAGCTAAAATGTAGGTTAGCGTAACTTGAGAAGCTGCTTTTTAATAGAAGAACTAAGTTCAAAAGAACATCACCACGGGCAGCTCAAATAGCATACCGGCAAAAATAAATACGACGCCACATTGACAATCAAGCGAACCTCTCACACCTGTCTATGAAATTTACGGTAAACACTTATCTCTCGTTGTTTCCGGAGGTGCTGCTGGATGCTGGCTGGTGACGGTGAAATGTACAGTTCATGGGCAAGAAGAACATTCAGATTTGCTCAGAAATCTCGACTTGTTTCCGCGCTCCATTTCGGAATCTCTTGAACTTCAAACTTCATCGCGTTATTTGCCCACCCTGGAGGCATTCAAACGTAGCTCCTAGAAATAGCAGTGCAGAAAAACCTCCAAGAAGTAAGAAACGTGGAGAAAAAAAAATTAAAATTACACTGGAGAAAACAGCTTAAAAAATGCGACTGAAAAGTACAGTAACGGCTGCGATAGTATTCAAAGCACCCGCCTCACCGTTTCTCATTAGATAGCCCCGAAGGGTTGTAGCATTTCCAGCAGCAGGAGCAGCAGTGAGAAAGTGAGTGACTGCACTAAAGAAGGAAGCGGAAATGACTTTCCTTTGGCCTCGGTGTTCTCCTGTCAGGGCACGGGGGAGTGTCGGGTAAGACGGATAAGTATAAATACGACTTGATGTGGTTGCTAGTGACAGCTCATCGCGAGCTAAGCTCAACTCCAAGATGGCTTTTGCAGGTAGTCAAGCGTACGGATGAACTGACTTGGCGATTTGGATCGTAGTGAGAAAAAGTAGAGTAAAATGGACCCGAGGGGATGGATGAGTAAGTCCGTCCAGCGAGATTGAAAATGGAAAAAAAAAAATGCAAAAGAGAATGCAGCTGGTAAAGTTTTCCGAGAGATGAATGTTTTTCTTTCTTCTGGTTGCGTTCATATTGTTGGACTCCGCATGCATCATGAATTGATACAGTGCTGACCTTGACCAAATGGTAAATGCATTTTTATTTAGTTTGAAGAAGAACGATTCGATGAAACAGACATATCATGTTTGCTTGCTGAGCTTTCCATTCTGGGATGTTTTTTTGATTATTCATTTTCCTCTAATCATTCTGGGTGCGTATTTATCGCTTATCATGCTTTTGATGATATTGAGCTTAGAGTTCGTCATAACTTCTATGGGATAAATTAGTCAGTTATGACACTAGTGCTCCAGTTCTGGCCCTAGAGTCTAACTCAAATTTGAAATAAATTGCCATGGATTGTTCTAACCCTGCATGGAAATAAATTTGGTAAAAAATCATAAAAATTGAAAATTAGGATAGAGCCAATTAGGGAACCTCTCGGGCCAAAAACTGGTTCGCTTACCCTAGTAGTTTTTTTATTTGCTTAACATTTAATAAGGAAGATTAAGTGATGTAAATGCTGGCGTTTATATTTTTAACCTTTGAATGGAGGGTATACATTAGGGTGGTTTAAAATATCACTCAAAAACGCAGTGTTGCGCTGAAAGCAGTTGATTGATCATCCACGTCAAATGACCCCGAGTAGCACACTTTCATCACAATAAGTTACAGCAACTTGTTTATGACTGAAATAAGTCGTATATAAGTTTCTACAATTGATTTGTGACAAGCGTGCTACTAGGGACGAATCATAAAAACTCGACCTTCACATCTCACTGCGTCCTAGCAAGAAGTACGGTCGACTTGTTTCGCGCTCCGTTGTTTTGGAAGTTTTCTCGGTATTCGCTGTCATTTTCGGAAAGATTAATCCGTGCTATTGGTAATTCGCAAACCAATTTGGGCATCATCGCTGCGTCCAAGTAACAATTCTAGAGCTGCTTGGCTATATTCAAAATTTATAAAGGTTTTATTGCAGCGGCAACCATTACCTACAGCTTTATGACGGTCATATACAATGCAAGTCATGAAACATTCTTATAGCTATCTACAAAACCCCTATAAAGCTAATTAAAAAACCAACTGATGCTTATGCTATTTTGACTTATGAAGGTTTTATGATTGCTTTGAAGTATAAAAAAATTAATATGAATTGCCCTTATAAAACCCAAAAATAAATCCTTTTATTGCTTTATAAGTAAGCGCAATAAAACTAGTTGGCCATGAAACGGTTATTTTAAAACAATTATAAGCATTCAGTTGCAACTTGTCAGAAATGTAATTGGGGGGTTTTTTTTTACAACATAGAAAAGAATCAAAACTTCCCGGTACTTCCAAGCAGAGCGCAAAGAAAATCAACAAAATTGTTAGCATGAGAATGAAAACATTTCGTGTATACGTATACGCGACGTAGTGTGCGTAAGAAAAACGTCAGCAATCTCTATAATTCTTTCGTTCTCGCTCGCATATACATGGGGTGACACTGTCGAATCTTGGTCGACATACATGGAATGGTGACAGTCCTAGGACAAAAAGGTTGAAATCACGCATAACCTTTCATAAAGGTTAATGTACCATACAAAACTTTTCCACATGTTTGTAAAATTCATCGCTTGCACCCGTAGAATAGGAATATACATTTGCCCTCAAATAAAAAAAATGAATTCAAGCTGAACATTGCATTAGGTCCTAAGTAACATTGGCAGATTCTCTTCGTCGACTTTCTCTTTGCATCCCCACGGTCATGTAAAGACATAAATCGCACAGTATGTTTCTTCAAAAAAGCTATTTATTTAATGTATTTGCATAAGAGAAAAATATAACATTATATAGTTGTAAGCAAGAAAACCGAAACAGAAAGAAAAAACCATATTTTCGACAATTTTTTCTTTAACTCCATATAACTTGGAACCAGTAGACTGTGGAAATTTAACGTCTTTGAAAGAACTGTTCATTTTGTCAAGATAAACAACTTTGCCCAAGACATCAACTCTCCAAAACGTCAGAGAAAGAAGTTAGATTGTGGCACCATTTTTGCGGAAGAGTTTTAAACTATTTGTTTATGTCAATAGATGGTCCTTATTATGATGAGAAATTTTGCCCAAGACACCAAGTCGCGGAAATGTTTCGTTTCGGAGTTATTAATTTTGCTCCGCTAGGTTGGATTCGTGACCCAGCGTTCAATGTAAGCATTAGACATTTTAAGAAATTGCGCTTGGTGTTTGTCTTGCCTGCTGTCCTCTGTCACCATATTGTCATTATGAAAATGCCATTAGCCTTGGAATAAAATCCAAGAAATTTCAATAATATAATGGCTAAATAAGAGATCGGAAATGATTTCCAGTTTGCATTGGTATGAATTTATGTATTGAGATCTATTTTCTGTAAAATTAAGGTGATTCCATTAAATTCATTTGATTTCTCTAACAATCTTTTTTGTTAACTTGAATTATTTTGGAGGCGCATTTATTTAACGCTCATATTATCTCAATATACACGATAACATTTCAAGCGCATATGTTTTGGAACTTCATTCCACTGCGTCCTAGCAAGAAGTACGGTCGACTTAGTTCGCGCTCCGCTATTTTGGAAGTTTTCTCGCTATTCGCTTGATTTAAATTGTCAGTTTTTTCTCGCTTAGAGTTCCCAGCTAAATAATTAACTAAAAGTGAGTTTTTTTCTGAGAAGAAAGTGTGTTTTCGGCATCATCGGAAGGAAAATTGTTTTTACGATTGCCAATTCGCCAACCATTTTGCGCACCATCGGTGCGTGGTAACGCATACCTGCACACGGATCATCGTCATCGAGTGTCAGCATCTGCCTCCGCATTTACACCGCTCATCTATCATCGTGTGTTCAGCTGAGTGCCGACCCTCACATAAGCACACACCAACGAAGACCGCCCGCACACGCTGATCGAAGATCATCCACGCTGCGCGTCGCTCCGCTGCTGTCGTTTAAACGCTCGGTGGTAGTAGTATAGGATTATCAGATAAGTTTTTGTTCTTGTTTCTCTCTTTCGCCCACAGTTAAATTTTAAGTTTGTGTTCTGTGTTTGTAGTTTTTTTTTTTGTGTATTGTGTCCGAGTGATTATCGTTTCAGTGGTAGAGCGTTTTTCGCTCCCACTAGTACGGCAAAATGGACATTTTGTCGCAAGACGAAATGGACGTTTTGTCGGAAGATGACACCACTTTGCCACGCGATGGCAAGAAGGGTCGAAAACGTACGTCATCTCAGAAGAAAGATGATGTCATCCCTGGTTCATCGTCTCAGTCTGGCAAAGGACAGGCTCAGATAAACCCCCGATCGCGAGCCTATCCAGATGACTTGACTGGCCCAGAAACAAACCTTTGAATGTAATGCAAATTACTAATGATCTGACGAAGCGATACTCGGCCGTGACTGAAATCACGAAGGTTAGGCACAATAAACTTCGTGTCTCCGTCTCTAACCTGAAGCAGGCTAACGAGATTGCTGCCTCCCAGCTCTTCACGCTCGAGTACAGAGTTTACATCCCAGCTCGTGATGTGGAGATCGAAGGTGTGGTCACCGAAGCGAGTCTGACCCCCGAGATCTTGGAGAAGCAGGCGGTTGGCCGTTTCAAGAACCGTTTGCTTCCTCCGGTGAAGATACTGGATGTCCAAAAACTGGGCTCAGTATCTGTCAGCGAGGGTAAAAAGAGTTTTACCCCCACAGACTCGTTCCGTGTGACCTTTTCTGGTTCAGCCCTTCCTCACTACATCGAGCTGGGAAAACTTCGACTACCTGTGCGTTTGTTCGTTCCCCGGGTCATGAACTGCCAAAACTGTAAGCAGTTGGGACATACGGCCTCCCACTGTGGCAGCAAGGCACGCTGTTCCAAATGCGGAGAGAAGCATG